GCCTAAGAAGTTAAGGATGATTTTCACATCTTTAAATGGTGGGGGGGAAAAAATCAAAGAAGAGTAGTTCGTGATATGTGAAATTACAGAAAATTCAAATTTCTCTGTCCATAAATAAAGATGTATTGGAACACAGTCATGGCTCACTCTTTCACATATTGCCTATGGTTCCTTTCACACTACAACAGCAGAACTGAGTAGCTGCAATGGAGACTGTATTGCTCACAAAGCCTAAAATATTTACAACCTGGTTCCATGAAGAAAGTCTGCTATACACCACTAATTTGTATCTAAATTTATAAATATCTTGCTAATGTGAAATTCATATAAGTATCTTACTTAAATACTCCAAACACCTCCACATACCAAATGAATTCATGTATACATATTTATAGGCACAATGTCTACCAGAAGTCATTGACAAAGAACTGAACCAAAAGTTGAACATTGTAAGTTTATGCCTAGATACTGAAATATCAAGTTAATAACTATGAAAGGATTTATTATTTGCACATCTAAAACTCTAGAGTTAATTCATTTCTTTCAATCCTTCCCTACTCTGTCAGACAAAAAAAGAGTGTGTGAAATATTTAATACCTGAAGCTGCTACTGGGTTCTTAAGAACAGAAACTACTGCCTTAAAATTGCAACACTTTATGAAAATTCTTAAAGTACAATTCATTCCATGCAGTGGCCATTACCCAAGTAAACAAAGATTCTTATCATTAAATTTTCCAAGTTTAAAAAAATGTCTTATTATTATCTTTGTTCCATAAGCAATATTTGGCATACATGTATACATTGTGCATGACTTCTTGCAGGCCAGTAAGTAATTGTTCAGTAAATTATTCCAGGGTACTTACTGACACCCTACGAAGTTTGATAAAAAAGTAAAAGCTCTCATAAAAGAGGGCCAAACTAACTCCTAAATAACAGAAACAGGAAAAACATGCCATATAGTGTTTTCAATTACATACCTAACTCATTCAAAACTACTGTTGGTTTACCATGAAAATGTTTTAACTTGAATACCACTATTTGCTGATTCCTTAAACTAAGTTGCTATTACCAAAATCTACTTCTGTCATATGTAAGAAAACTAATAAAAACCAATTTTTATATATCATTTAGTCAATTGCATGACTTAATTTCCTTTTATTTCTAGGCAATTAAGAAACTCACACTGTCTTCCACATCTCCGGTCTTCCAGCCTTTCAACAGCATTTTAGACACAGGTATCTGAAGTTCATTTTCTAGAATCTGTTTAATCTCTCCTGCATAAATAAGAAAAGACTGAATATTACTAACCAAATAATTCAATCAACATTTGTCCATATCCAGGGCTACCAATAATATCAGGCATATGGTACACAATGACATTTGATAAATAAGTAAGAATAATTTCCATAGTCCAAACTTTAAATCCTAAACAAATGTTGCCCTTTGAAGAACTCAGGCTTCAAGATTAATTATGACAAAAGACTCTAGAATTAATTAGTTAATTAACTGCAGAGCTCTTTAAAGAAATAGATACCAGTTTGAGTAGAAACAACTTACTTTAAATCAATCACTGAAAATTCCACTATGTGCTCAGCATGTGGTAGGAATAGCAGGTAAAGTATAAAACTTGAAGTGATACAGTATAAGCAAAGCAGATTTTAGAATGAAGATTTGGGCTGAAGTCTTATCTTCAAGAAATAAATATCTATTCTTAGTTTTTGTATCATAAAATGGAGAATAATATTGCCTTTCTTAACTATTTCCAGGGTCTAAGGATTAAAAGGAAATAACATCCATGAAAGCAGCTGAAAAAATAAAGTCAATGTATATAATCTAGAAGACAATTTAAATTACATTAAAGAGAAAAGCAACAGAATTTCAGAAAAGAAAAAAAAAATGTGTTGGATTAAGCAGAGAAGGCTTTATGAGAGAGATGAGATTTAAACCCAGATTGAAGGATAACTGGGTCATGAAGGAGTGCACACCAAAAGTTATTCTATTCAATGAAGACAAAAGACTTAAAGGTAAAAAAGGCAAAAATGAACACAATGCTAATGAAAAACAGTGAGGAATCAAAATTTTCCCAGTGTTCCACAAATTGTTTTTCAGGAATCAAGTCTACTAATAAATTAATCAGCTAATTTCTATAACTACAGTATATTAAGCAGATTGTTGAATCAGAATATACAAGCATTGCATATATTTACTTTTATTAGGTTGTTGCTAGTCTATACCTTTTTTTAAAAAAGTGTATTTTAGGGGCGCCTGGATGGCTCAGTGGGTTAAAGCCTCTGCCTTCGGCTCAGGTCATGATCCCAGGATCCTGGGATCAAGCCCCGCATCAGGCTCTCTGCTCCGCAGGGAGCCTTCTTCCTCCTCTCTCTCTGCCTGCTTCTCTGTGATCTCCGTCTCTCAAATAAATAAATAAAATCTTAAAAAATAAATAAATAAATAAATAAATAAATAAAATTAAAAAATTTAAATAAAGTGTATTTTTAAAAGTATACTTTTTCATACTTTATTTTTGGAGAGAGAGAGAGAGAGTGCATGAGCAGGGAAAGGGGCAAACGGAGGGGGAAAGAATCTTAAGCAGACTTCACATCCAGCATGGAACTGCATGTGGGCTCAAACTCACGACCCTGAGATCACGACCTGAGCTGAAATCAAAAGTTGGACATTTAACTGACTGAGTCACCCACACACCCCTAGTCTATACTTTCAGATTAACACATAACTCAACCCCATTTATAGTAAGTGATTGAATATTGAAAAACCTGATTATGTTATATATTAAAAGAGAAAAAATATTACATGCTGACGAACGAAGGAGGAAAAAACTTACACTACACAGTACTATGGAAATACAGCTGCCAAAGTAAGCAGTGCTATAATTAAATGCTTCATGGCCTTAGTGACAAAGTCTTACTTCCCCAAAGATAATTCCTATCTGGGCACTTTTGATAGTGACTAAATGTCGTAATATATTTTACAAGCACAAACCTTTATCAACTGTAGACTTTGAAAATGTCACTGCTGACAAAGAATTTATGGAAATGGTAGGAAAATGAGCCACACTTTTTATATCAAATACATATAAACATTGACTTTTCATTTATGGCTAAGGTTAATATTTCCAGAGCTGTCCTTGTCTAGAACTGAGCTTATGCTCTTTCAATTCCGCCCAGTGCTTTCCTCTTAGAAACTGACCTTCACCTGACACTTTCTACTTAGACTCCTAGAGATACTCTTAGCATTCATAACCTAACAGAAGTTTCTTAAAGAAAAAAACAAAAATAGATTTTAAGTTGAAGTTGCAGTTACTCTTTGCAACAAGCTTGGATAACATATAAAAAGTTTAATTCCACAGGTAGAAAAGAATGGAAAACAAAACCAGAATCTTGACAGCACCCTGAGTTCCTCATATTTTAAAAATTTATTCTGTTGGTCTCAATTTCTTCTTTAGTAAAGTAGGGATAATTATAGTACCAACACTTAATTGGGTTCCTGCATTAAATCACATAAGACATGGAAATATTTTGTATTAGTGTGTGTTTCAAAAAATGTTGATTATTTTGATTTGTATTAGGTAATACACACATAAATGTCTAGCATAGTATTTGGCCAGAATAGATTCTAAATAAACAGTAATTATTGTTTTAGGGATATCCAAAATAATTTAGGTCAGTGAAATACTAGAATGAAGCAAGTTTCAGAGCCAGTATGTGTATCTGGGTCTTTCTGACACCAAAGATCTTAACACAAAATGGCACTGCCACTACAGCACCCTAGTATGTCACTTAGAAAAATGTGCAGATATGCAGATGTCATTAAGAGCAGTTCACTGTACTTGCAAACCATCTATCTGATAGGGAGTCAATATCCAAAATATATAAACAACTCACAACACAATACCAAAACACACACACACAATCCAATTAAAAAATTAAAAACGGGCAAGGGTGTCTGGGTAGCTCAGTTGGTTAAGCATCCAGCTCTTGGTTTCAGCTCAGGTCATGATCTCAGGGTTCTGGGATCAAGCCCTGTGTTAGGCTCCACACTCAGTGGGAAGTCTGCTTAAGGATTCTCTCCCTCTTCTCTGTCCCTCCCCTTGTTCTTTCTCACTCTCTAAAATAAACAAAACAAATCTTTTTTAAAAAATAGGCAAAGGACCTGAACAGATACTTTTCCAAAAAAGATATACAAATGGCCAACAGGTAAATGAAAAGATGCTCAGCATCACTAATTATTAGGGAAATGCAAGTCAAAACCACAATGAGATATCACCTCTTGCCTATTAGAATGTCTTCTATCAAAAAGACGAACAATAACAAATTCTACAATGATTGGAGAAAAGGGAACCCTTGTGCACTGCTGGTAGAATTGTAAATTAGTACAAGCACTAGAGATAACAGCATGCAGGGTTCTCAAAAAATTAAAAACAGAACTACCATATCATCCAGCAATATATCCAAAGGAAACAAAAACACTATATCAAAAAGATATCTACACCCCCATGTTCAAAGCAGCATTATCTACAATAGCCAAAATACTGAAGCAACCTAATTGTCCAATGATGGATGAATGAATAAAGAAGTTGTGATGTATGTATACATTTCAATATTATTTAGACATAAAAAAGAAAGAAATCCTGACATTTTTTATAACATGAACAGACACTGAGGGCATTATGCTAAGTGAAAGAAGTCAGATATAGAAAGTCAAGTACTATATATCTCACTTACATATGGATCTAAAAAAAAAAAAAAAAAGAAGAAGAAGAAGAAATACACAGAAAAAGAGATCAGATTTGTAGTAACCAGAAGTGGAGTTGGGAATTGGATGAAGGTGTTCAACAGCTACAACTTCCAGTTATAATAAGCGCTGGGGCTATAATATATAACATGAAGACTACAGTTAACACTACTATGCAGTATATTTTAAAGTTGCTGAAACTTCAGTGGGGGAATTTGAAATAAAGTGAAAAAAAAAATTGATCTCCCCAAGGATCTTGGTGTTCATGGGGGTCATTTTAAGAAACATGCCCTTATTTAGAGAAACCTCCACACCTAGGATTTCTTTTCCTTCAGGTAATCCCTCCACCTTAGCAGGGATTATTAGAATAAACTTCTAAAATTACTTTTTTGTAAGGCATGCGCATTTACTGGATAATGGAAAACTATTTTTTGTTCAGTGATTTTTGTTTTCATCCTAAAAGAAAATGGTAGAAAACAAATCATTTCTTTTAATTAATTAATTTATTTGACAGAGTTCACCAGCAGGCAGAAAGGCAGGCAGAGAGAGAGGAAGAAGCTGGGTCCCTGCTGAGCAGAGAGCCTGATGCGGGGCTCGATCCCAGGACCCTGAGATCATGACCTGAGCCGAAGGCAGAGGCTTAACCCACTGAGCCACCCAGGCGCCCCACAAATTGTTATTTTTGTTAACATTAAATCTTTGGGAATTAAAATAAATAAATAAACAGATAAATGCCATTGTTAAGAGAGTAAATCCTTGGAGTTCCCAGTACAGGGAGGAACCCCCCCTTTTTTGTGTACTTACATAAGATGATGGATGTTAATTAAACTTATTGTGGTAATCACTTTACGATACATGTAAGTCAAGTCATTATGCTATACACTTCAAAAGTATACAGTGCTGCATATCAATTATATCTCAGTAAAACTACAAAAAGACTTTTGTAAAAGAGTCCACTGAGTCCAGTAGCATACTTTCAAAAAAAACCAACTCAGATTATGATATACATATGTGTGTGTGTGTATACATATATATATGATATACAAATAATAAAATTCACTCGTGAATTTTGACAATATATACACCACTGTAACCACTACCACAGTTAGGATAAAGGACATTTCCTATATCACAAAAAGATACTCATACCTCTTTGAAACAAAAACCTTCTCTCACCCAACCACTGACTTTTCTTCTCACTCTAAAGACTAGTTCTGTTATCTTTTATGCCTGGGTTCTTTTGCTCTGCTTAATGTTTTTGACATTCAGCTACACTGTTGCGTGTACCAATAAGTTTATTTTTCATTATTTAGTAGTATTTCATTACATTGTAAGGTAGGCAGCTTCTGAAATGGCTTCCAATTCCCCACCCTTATGGTATTCATGCCCTTTGTAATTCCCTCTCCCATGAGTGTGTACCAAGTTACTTGGTACCAAGTTACTTCAATGAAGCAAATATAATAATGGTGATGGGATGTGACTACTGAGACAGGTTTTAAGACTATGGTTTCCATCTTGCTAC